CATGGGAAAGAGGAGTTCATAGAGTTATGCGAGGAAGGGACGGGGAGAAGGACAAAAAGGAGCACTCCTCCCAGCCTGATCAGCTACATCACTGAAACCTTAGACTGCAGCGAGAGAGGCAGAAAAAACGTGTGATGCAAAAACCGGAATGCTGGCACGTACCCAGCCCAGTGGCTGAATGCTGTGTATGCTTGTCAAAAAAACAGGTCACGAGTTTGAATACCAGCATTGGAATCAGATGGACATAATAAGGTCAGGAGCTAACCCGCTATGAGAGAACAACAATGGAATGCTGGCACGTGTAGAAGAACTGAAACAACCAAGCTCATGTGGCTGAATGAATGGTGCCATCAAGTCTTGACAAACAAACCCACGTTCAAATCCTGATGGACTCAGATGATTAGAAAAAATAACTCCTGCCAGTTAGGTGGTGATACCTCAAGGCCGTTGCCCTGTAAAATATAGATATATATACTAACAACAACAACAACAACAACAACAACAACAACAACAACAACAATAATAATAAACTGAAAAAATTGGGTACAGGAATCGGCATTGGCTGTACGTCCAGATACACATGCCATTTTTTGGAAATCCTCGAGAGTCAGGCATTAGCACAGCTGAAGGAATAGCGGGCATCAGTGCCGATATGCACAAAGCGCCAGCCGGTCTGACTACCACCTTCACACGAATCGAATGCAGGGTCATTATCGCTGTATCTAGACTGAAAGCTGGGCCACATTCAGCCATAATGACCGTGCGTTCTATTCCGGTGAAGCCAGTTGTCATCACGCCAAGCAGCACCTTGGCAAGAAATACCCAGTCAGTGGCAGTCACCTGGTCGCAAAAGACGAGATCTTTTTTCTGTTTGTTTCCCCCTTCTTAATCTTAGAACTTGCTTATACTAAATATACCATAAGTGATAATTTGGATTTTTTGGAATCGAATTTTTTTTATTTTTTTTTTTTCGCTTGGAAGCCTTTCTGAAGGCAAGAATTGAGCTGTCCAGACAAATCAGACTGCCACGTGGCAATTCATAACGACGATCACCTTTTTTTTTCCTTCTTTTTAAACCTTTTTTGGGGGGGCACGGTGACGATCTTGAGATATCATCATTCAACTGATCCGCCAAAGGTAATTCAGAATTATTTTTATTTGCGAGGATTCGGATCCTCGGCAGGACTAAGGGGCCCCTGTTGCATCTGTGCCCGCCCTAAGTGAAGGCGGGCCTAACAAATCCCAAGAGGCCCTCGACTGTCAATTTCGTATTTGGGGTCCAGGCAGTTTCATCGCACCAGTTGGTTGAAGGAAACACAGGCCGAGCAGCGAGGAAAAATTCCCAGGCCTTCCAGGCCTTTCCGAAAGCACAAGCCCTGGGCGAGATTCGCAGCCTCATACACAGACAGTTAAGAGGCCCAACCGAATGAGGCCCAGAAGCTGCACCAAAGGCGCAGCATCCTGGGGCCTACCGGAAGCTTTTCGGCCCAGGCCAGTCCAGCCAGGCTGCCGAACGAGGCAGGCTCTTTCCATATAGGAAAGAGCTCGCTGCGTGGCAGGGCAGTCGGGCACTTGCTGGCTGGCGGCAGCGCTGCTGGAGCTCAAGCTCGTGTGCTGGCTGCTAGCGATGGAGCAAGGTGCTGCGCACATGCGGTCGTGTGTGGAAGCAGGGCGCTGATGAGGGCAGCGCCATAGCCCAGCCTCCATAGCTGGCTGAGGGCTTGGATGTACAGTGAGGCGCAGGGGTGATCTTCGGGTTTCAAGAGGCAAGACGTGGGTGTCAGACAAGGGAGAGAGAGAAGGATAATGATGATGATGATGTGAGAGCACATACCTGGTATTGGCGGTGGTCTGCTACGGGCGAAATCTTCAAGTACTTCGTTGGCTGCTGACGTCAACAGTTGCATTGTCAATTAGTAGGCTAGTAGCTGCTGTGTAGGGAGTAGGCTGGGCGCCGAGCGCCAAGTAGGGAGATAGGGCCTGGATACTCATGTTGGTGGTGGCGAGAGCAAGCTCTCATTGACATTGGTTTTCAGTGTTAGGATTCTTCATTGGTGTTGTATTGGTGCAATGCTACTCTCTGGACACTGTGATACTATCTGGTCTTCAATGTGATTGTGCATTCTGTTTATTGTCATCTCGCTATTGCTCATTTTCCTTGCATATTCTGTTCATCTGATTCCATCTGGACTCGAACTTGGCTCTGATTCATATTTCAACAATTCATGGCTATACCAACGGAGCTAGACCTTTTCTTTCCCTTTTTCCCCCTTTTTTTCCCTTTTTCCCTTTTTCCCTTTTATTTCCCTTTATTTCCTTTTTTTCCCTTTTTTTTCCCTTTTTTAACCTTTGAACAGAGGTTATGAGAGAGATTCCGTCGGGGGATGCAAGGTGCGCCAGCCGTATCAGCTCCCACGTCCTGCATCAGCTTTTTGCTTTTTCATTTTTTCTTTGTTTCTCCGCGTTTTGCTTTTTCATTTTTCCTTCGTTTCTCTTCCTTTTTAGGATCCCTGCTTTAGAATGTTGGCGGAACCAGTCGTCAGCAAAAATAATTGGGGATCTCCTTTTATAATTGACCCTTGGCTGCTATTCATCAACAAATGGACCCTTTGACTCGCAATCATCCCGTTGATTTTCCCGGAAAGAAAGAAGGAAAGAAAAAGTAAGGAAAGAAAAAGTAAGGGAAAAAGGAGGAAAGAAAATTGAGAGGAAAGAAGAAAATGACCGACCAGCGCCGGTCATGTGGTATTGATGGCAGGCCGCGGTTCTCCTCAAGGTGGGTGGTGATGGCAGGCCGCGGTTCTCCTCAAGGTGGGTGGTGATGGCAGGCCGCGGTTCTCCTCAAGGTGGGTGGTGATGGAAGGCCGTGCTTATCCGCAGCTTGACATGGCAGCTTGTCATGCGGCCGAAGATTTTTGGTGCCAGGTTTTGTTGTCAGAGGTTCAGGATTAGGGTTTAGAAGTAGGGTTTTAGGACTAAGAGTTTAGAATTAGGGTTTTGGGATTAGGGTTTTACAACGACAAGACGAGCACGTGCTCATCCAGTTGGACACGTGGCATCACAGGATAGCAGTTTCTGGTGCAAACAGATCGTGAATCGGACACGTGATCGGCATGACATGACGACTTGTCATCGACAAGCAGAGTTGATCCAATTGGACACGTGGCATGACATGACTTGCCACATGACTTGATCGACACGTGGCACAACATGTCGATCACGTTTCCAATAAAATCGATCACGTGTCCAATTGGATCGATCACGTGTTCAATTGGATCGATAACGAGTCCAATTGGATCGACAAGCATTTTACAATAAAGCAGTTTCTTGCGCAAATGGATTGCGAGAGGAGGACACGTGGCATGACATGACGTGATCCAATTGGATCGATCACGTGTCCGATTGGATCGATAACCAGTCCAATTGGATCGATAACGAGTCCAATTGATCGACAAGCATTTTACAATATAGCAGTTTCTTGCGCAAATGGATTGCGAGAGGAGGACACGTGGCATGAGATGACGTCATCGACAAGCATTTTTTAACCCGTCCATCTTCGCCACTTCGGTTTATGGCACGGACAAAGAAACAAATACTCCCTTTTGTAATTTTTAATTTTTTTTCTTTTCAAGTTTTAACAAAGTAAACGTTTTTCTTTATCTTGTTAACTAAATAAATGTCTTTTTCTTTTTCTCTCTAACTAAAGTAAGTACAAATGCTGCTGGTCTTGTCTTCTTGCACTTGTCCATATCTTGGCATACGATACATTGACATACATGTACGCAAAATAAAAATTCGAAAATAAATACAGTTATATTATTATACAATAATAATCATATTACTAACATTGTTTTTCGATGTAACTGCTCCCCACATCTACGATGCATTCGCCAACGACGACTTGCTGAATCGTTCGCTCTCCCTCCCTCCACAAGCCAGCATACGAAATCATTCACTAGGTTGGGCTCAACCTCAAAACTCTAAACCTCTCTCTCTCTCTCTCTCTCTCTCTCTCTCTCTCTCTCTCTCTCTCTCTCTCTCTCTCTCTNCACAGAGAAACACACAAAAAGAAATGCAAGATTGCCGGGCTGTGAAGCTCATAGGCAGGACATTTCTTGCTATGTCATCATTTCTCAGAGACAAAACACAGCACGCGCGCACACACGCACATATACGCGCGCGCACACACACACACAACCCCGATGAGTTGGTGAGAGTCTGACGAAACAGTCTGGCACAGTCATGCTTTTTTTGCGGAGTTGTGTGCAGCTCACATAACAACCCACACACACACACACACACACACACACACACACACCACATTTCTCAGAGACAAAACATGCAGAAACACGGACCTAGGGAGAAGGATAGAGGAGGAGCCATGGATTACAGTGAACAGAATCAACAAGTTGCGGAAAACGACAAGATAGGAAACCAAAGCGGGCAAATAATTCAAAATTAGAGTAAGGCAAATCTCGAGCGGCATAAAGGCAAGCGGAGAACATGGGAGAACCAAGAAGTGGGGCAGGACTAGAGAGCGGAGCACGATATGACTCAACGCCGACACGTGTGATGATGATGATGATGGTCATGATGATGATGATGATGATGATGGTCATGATGATGATGATGATGATGATGATGATGATGAAAAGAATGATAATGATGATAGAAGTTTGCGCCGTCTTACATCTTGTTCGAGAAAATCTATGAATGTTCTTCTCAACGTGTATCGCGCCTCGTAGTTCGTCTCCATTGTGTTCGCCGCCAAAGGATGATGATTCCCGCCAATTCTCTGTTCGCTTCCCGCCAATTCTCTGTTCGCTTCCCGCCTGAGTGTGTGTAAGTCCTAGTTCAGTGGGCCAAGATGGTGTGACTGAGAATTGGCGGGGGAGGGGGGGAGGACGTCGGAAGTCGTCGTTAAGCAGGCCCTGTACTGTAGTGTATGAATGAAGTAATCAGAATCCAATCTGCGTCGCAGTTGCTATTCCCGGGGGCGAGTTGTTGGAAGTACTCTTGTCGTGTGAGTCGTAATGCTGGGCGCGCATCTTGGAGCATGTCCTGGAAGGCAAAAGCCAAAGAAGAAACGAGCCAGCGCGTGTCAGAATCACTTTGTGGACTGCGACAATCTCTCTCTCTCTCTCTCTCTCTCTCTCTCTCTCTCTCTCTCTCTCTCTCTCTCTCTCTCTCTCTCTCTCTCTCTCT